AGTAGGCAGCGCGTAAGTCTCATAATCTTAAGGTCGTGAGTTCGATCCTCACCCGGGGCAAATATTTTTGATTTCAATCGGAAGAAATTATTATTTAGCTATAATCTTAATATATTATAAATTTAGCTTATCTTATCCTCTTGATCCTCTCATTCTTATCGTATCTATAATTTTTTCATGTACCTCCTTCACTTTATTCATTAAATTTAGTACTACAAATGGATATTATTCGCTAAAACATTTTATATTTGTTAATATACCAATTTTGTGTTCACAGATTAAAATTTGGTTTCAAAATAGACGTACAAAATGGAAAAGAAAATACACAAATGATGTGGAACTCTTAGCCCAACAATATTACTCCAGTTTAGGAATTCCTGCACCACGGCCAATTTTTGTCGAGGATCGTCTTTGGTAAATATTTATTTCCAAAAAATTTAATTTCGTTTAAAAATGATAATTTTCTACAGGTTTTTTAATTATCCAACGCAATTACAACCAGGAGCACCGATTTTTCCACAGCATTTAGCAACTGTTCCTTTGCCATCAGCTTTACCCATTGTACAACCATTACCAAGTAACATAACGATGGGTCAGACTTCAATTTTTCAAAATATCTCCGCAAGTAATCCGACATATCATTTAAGCCAAAGATTAGACTTTAGGCATCAAAATTCTTAGGTATAAAAAAAATCTAATTCAGTCGTATTAAAGGATTTCATGTTTAATTATCGAATCCTTCGAAATTACGATATGTGATACGTTTTTGAAAATTTTAAAACATTATAAAAAGCAATGAAGATATTCATTAATTTTTTTTATTACTTTAATAAATAAATAATGTTATAATAACGCCAAATATTTCAAAACTTTGTTGGAATCCTAAATTATAAGAAATAAAAATATTTATATGATTGCATGTAAAAAAAAAAACAAAATATATCAACATTACTTTCGCATTTATTATAGATAAATATTATATATTCATTTATCTATAATATTTATTATAGATAAATAATATATATATATAGTAAATAATTTTTATAACAATTTCTTGTTTTTAATGAAAAACTAACAAATATATTTTTATCTGTAATGATATATGATAAATGATATATATTCTAAGATAATAATAAATAGTATAATTCCTTGAATCTTATTAAATATGTAAGTAATTAAATTATTTATTACCTGTACAATAAATAAAAATATAAAAAATGATATAAATACAATATTTCAACAATGACTTTATTACAGAGCTGAAGGAGACAAAACTTTACTGACACCCAAAATTTTCTCATCGTGAGCTGCTTGATCCTGTATAATTTTAGCATATTTCTCATTGTCCTGTAAATCTTCTTCATCCAACATTTCTTGCATTCTTTGTTTATAACTGTAACAATATAATATAGAGAATCTTATCATATTATATCATATTATATTAAGATTTACTCCAGATAGATTAGATTTATAAATAATAATAATAAAAATATACTTACATTTCACTATCAGGATTATTTTCCTGATTTCTACATTTTTCTAATTTTTTTTCTAAAGCTCTTACCATTTCTCTTGAAGGAGGATCTACACATTTAGCCATAGATCTTATTTCTGTAATAACTTTCTAAAGTTAAAATACATTATTGAAATATCAACTAAATAACATTAATAAAAGGTATATTTACTTCTTACTGCTTCTATTATACATCCCAAATGTTCTTTAGAGAATAAAATATCAGTTACATAATTATCTAAATTAGCAGATGCTCTGGATGCAGCATGTAATGTTGCAGCCAATGCAACTTGGCTTGGAGTATATAGTAAAACGCTATCAGTCAAAAATACTCTTTCTAAAAATTCATCAATATATGGCCTTAACCTTTCTGGATTTTCCAAAGAGGTATACCTTGTCTAAAAAAATATTAATTAAGTTTGGTTGAATATCAGATTAACATTGATATAAAGGTATTTAAAGTATACCTTGATATCTATCATTAAACCTTCTACTGGCCTGAATGGATTATGTACTGTCAAATTATAATTTAACTGTTGCATAAGAAGTAATTCATTATTAAGTATAATATCAGATGCTTTTTCTCTATCTCCTTTAATATTTGCAACAAATTGATATATGGAGACGTTAAATTCTTCTACCTAAAATGAATTGCTATAGCAAACTATAGAAATTCAAAAAATAATTATTCAAAAATAAAAAAAATAATTACTTTACAGGCCAAGTAGACACATGTGACTAAAATCTCTTTGGGATGATAATCCATAACACTGTTTCTGAGATAGAATCTTTTGAAATAATGTAATGCAGTTGCTATAGTAGCACGTGGCATTGAAGGAGTAAAACGACGACAAAAATCTCTTAATTGTAATTCATAAAAACGAAGTAATATACGTTCTTCTGTATGGGAAAGAAAATGTTCTTCCCTTTCCCCTGGCTTTTCAAAATATATATTATGTATTACAATTAGAGAAAATATGATTCGTTTACTTAACAAATATATAAAACTCATGTATCTTATAGTATTATAATAGTATAAGATACATGATATAAGATAAGTGATAAACGAATTAAAAAAACATAGTAACATAACGAATTAAAAACATAGTAACATAAAAATAATAAAATAATATGTACGTATAATTATAGCTTATCAATAAAGACAAATAATTAAGAGTAAAATGAATATTTAAATAACCTATAAATTATAGAAACTAATTCAAAGATAATATTTTAAATTCAAAATTGTTTATATTTTATTGAAAAACAAAATATAAAATTGCATTCTCAACTTACCGTTAAAAACAGCACAACTTACCGTCATGTTTGCACCATGTTTTTGAATAAATTCTGCGTTGGTTTTCTCTCTCAACGCTGTCAAATCATTTTCATCATTAAATATCCAATATCTACTCTGTGAACTTTGTGGAAACATTTTTGTTCCGCTTTTGAAAAGTTTGAAAACCGACAGTTTATGATTTAAGAATGAAATTCGAAATTGACGTACGCACAATGAAACGCGGTAAAACAATATATTAAATATTCAAGATGGCATACTTCTATAATGTTTGGATCAATGTACTAAAGAGGGCAGCAGTAGGTATGTTTCGCGCCATTTTCATGTCGATATGGTCACGTACTATGCAGTAAATATGCTATATAACATTCTCGCAGGAAAAGTTTTGTTCACAAAGGAAGTTATCTTGTTTATTTTAAATATAACAAATGTATTTATATTTTTTTAAGTGAAAAAAAGTGAAGATAATATTTTTTCGTAATAATATCAATAGAATGCAATAATCAACAAGTGTGCTACATTGTTACAGTTGGTTTTCATGTACGACACTCATTACAAATGGTGAAGTATTTATACTGCAATTAAAAATAACAGGTAATAATTAAATTTCTTTTTTATACAATTGTTATTTGATTTATATTTATTCATTTTATTTCAAATGAAATTGAAGAATAAGAATATATTGTTTTTAACATGGTATTATTTCGATTTGTTGTTTATATTTAATCATAGATTATATCATAGGTTAAACATTGCATAACATTGCATACATATTTTAACATATTACGAATTATTCGTGGAACGTGTCGTACTTGTTGATATTTTTATTATTAAAAAAGAATGTAGAAATTCAATTTAATAAATATAGAAATAATAATAATGTACATTATTATTTCTATAACCTAAACCTATTTCAATAAAAAGTGTTATAGGGAGAAAGAAAAAAAAAATATATAAATATAACAAGAAAAATGCAATATGCACAACTGCACAATTGACAATATAAACTGCATGAGCTTTGAATATGATGTTCTGAAATGTCAATGTTCAAGAAAGTTATGGTTTAAAGATACGAGCTGGTGAATACAACAGAGGAGTTTTCGGTAAAAAGGATCATATTTTCTGGTAACGTGATTGTACGTGCCAGTAATAAACAAGATCGGCGAAATGGTTGATAGAAGGTCAGAGGTGGGGGGCACAATTTTAATATGTACGCCCCCGCAAGCGGTTGCACGTCGGATCTGAGGGGGCGTTCCTACGACCCTTTGTCAACCGACGACGCCGCTGCATCTTATCACGATCAAGGCTCGGGATCTCCCATTCTGCTCTTCCACCTCGTTCAGCCCTCGAGGCCATCCCGGTGCTGCCGCTTGTTCAAGCAAAGACGTTGCCTCGACGTCTCAGTGGCTATAACTTTCTACTTTTTGTACATTGATTTATGCTTCTTTATACTATGCGACGATACGTTGTCGTGTGGTACAGTGTGGATCTCTTAAAATTTGAGCCAAGCATCTGCATCTCGTATCACGAAATAATCTCAGATGCAAGATAAAACAATCTCTTGGAATTTCTATCTATTTAAATTAATTCTTACATAAATAACGAAATATGAAATCACAGCTTACCACCAATGTAATATATCTATTCGTATAAATTATAAATGATTAATAATTAAAGGCAATTTTCAATTTGTCCGACTGATACGATGCCACTCGAGAAGTTTAATTTCCGACGAAATCCATGTCAAGAAATGATATGGCATCGAAAGTGAAGTACATCCGCCATTAATCTAATATTGCGGTTGCCGCCGCCCTCGACTTTGCGTGCTGCACCCTTCCGCGTCGAAGCTTGCTCCCTTCGTACAAATACAAACGTAACTATTGTGGACAATCACCTATACAAGAATGTACACCAAGATATATGTACGTGAATACGAAGAAAAAGAGAGCCAATCGGTTCGATTTACTAGTAGCGATAATGCAAAATCAATATTTGGTATGGTGTATAAGGTGTGACGAATAAAGTGGATTACAATCCCATCACGTCCCAATGGTTCACCGCAATCAAAAAGAACTTTCCATCAAATTGCAGTTGTCTCTTTCATTAAATATGAGACGCAAGTGAAACAGGCGTGCAAAGAAGAAGATACTTCGAAGTTTAGATGTTGTTACATTGAACAATGGCTATAGATGAAAAAATATTGCATATGTATGCACATGTTTTTGTATGCGTGACCTAGTGTATCGCATGACCGTTAACATTCCGTGGTATCGTCGTCGGTTAACCCGCAAAAAGCGGTATCACGCCTGCTTCTAACACTCCACGTCTGATCGGCTGGGTATCTTGCACGCAAGCCTTCGGCGATCGAAACCTTCTCGTGTATTATTCGTCATGATGAACGTACTGTTTGCATATTATATGAAGTTAATGGTCACAACTCTTTCTTTTTCTCTCTTAAAACTGGTCACCATTAGGCTTAACAATATTTCAAAAATTGTTATGCAATATGTTATGCAATGTTGTTAAGATAATCGATTTACTTCATTAATTAAGAGACACACGTGCGCGAAATATAAATACAAAAAGAATACATTATTAAATAATGTTCCATTATAAGAATATTTCTTAAAAGAAACAACAAGAATTTTTTATTCAAACGTGTATACGCATAGTTTGTATACATATAAATTTAAAGGTATATAAAATCAATATATTTAGACTTGTTTAATTATCTGGAGCCTCAGATTCGTGTTAACAAACAATATATCATATGTCTTTTGTACACAATGTTCATTATCTACTATCAGATGTCTCGGATAATATGCGTTCACTAGTCTGTGAAATGATTATATATGTGTACCGTGTATACGAAACTAAATTTACCAAAGACGTTACGTAACAAATCATAAATCTCGTAGTCAGTGAGCGTACATAGTTAGAAAATCGTGGTACACTGACTCATTGCAATTGCTAAAGTATTTCTATACATGTATATTCTGATATAAGTGTCTGTAAATATATTTATGCAGCTCACATACATACACGCAAATATTATAATACTGTCTGTCTACGACTTTGTGCATCAACGTTACGTTCATTGGCGATGTACTGTCATATGAGTCATGGTATTTATCTAAGATTACTACAATTTATCAAAGCTGCCGTGGGCCTTAGACCATTATAAAGTCTCGCAATGGCTGACAATTTTATTTTAAGGCAAACCGGTAAAGAGATCAGCCTAGCGTATGTCGTATTCTTTTACAGCATCCCTCTTTTCTTTCTTTTTTTTTTTTCACGTTGCTGAAGTGTGCCCGATTATAGCTTCTTTTGGCAAATAAAATGTAAGAAATTGCATTGCTTGCAGAAAAATGCGATTATAATTTACAAGATAAATACTGTAGAAAGCAGGGATAAGGAAACTTGTCCCTGGAACGTGGACCGTCCGACGGCAACCAATCGCATCCGATCTGATTTTTTCACGAATATTAAATCGCGATGGGAAATTACGATTACTCTGCGAAACACTGTTCGAGATGTGTATCTAGGTATATATTGAAGTGATCGCGCGAACGGATCGCTGCTCCTTAACCAATTATCGATCTTTCAAATATCCACAGAAGCAACTTATGCTCCGGGCATCGAAGATGCAAATAATACGTCTGCTCGAGATCGAATGGAACGACAAAGTTCGATCGACAATACGCATAATCATAACGGAGCGCATCATTAATTAACGATCCGTATTAATTGCGTATTAATGGATTAATATAAGTAACGTAAATATATTCCGATATTGAACAAATTTTTTTTCTTTCCTTTTTAAAAATCGCTGTGGGTGCACGTGTGAAATAGTGATCATTATTATTAAACGATAAAAGAACAATTTAAGTGTAACAAAGCAAACGAAACGGACGAGGAGGGTGGAACGAAAGAATGGAGCCTCGAAGACGGCTGTTCGAACGCAACCTTCGCCCCCGGCGGGACCATGGTCGGCGAAACACGCGTTCAACAATAAGAAGCATCCAGTGGAGGAACGGTGGAAAACGAAGGAGAAAGTAACGTAGAAAGAAAGAAGGCAAGGCAAACGCTTGGTTGTATACGGTATAATTACAGAGGGCAGAGCAGTGGCTAGACCCACTGCAGCAACTTATCGTTGCCCAAGGCGCCAGCATATTCGAAATCGGCGGGACTCGATCCTGTTGCGACTTGGTCCTAATTCGTATTCGTGCCCCGGGTGTAGCAGATAGTATACGTCTCGAAAAACGGCGGAAGGACTGGCAGGAATCTCCTATGTTACGCCCTCCTTCTCCTATCTTCGGTTTTCTTCTTATCTGCTTTTAGCAATGCAAATTTTGATGGTTAACAGTAATCCATATGTTCTATGATCCTTGTGGATCAATTGTCAGGAAACGCTGTTCGTTATCTCAATAATTTATTAGAAATCCGAGATATGAAACTTTATTCGATTCGATCGTATAGATTCGTTAGAAATTCTGATTTTGTTGTAGTCAAAAATGAAGAATGTATAGCTTCCTCTCTTACGTCTGCGAAGCTGAATTCGCTTGTTTTTTTTTTTTTTTTTTTTTTTTTTTTTATGCAAAGAGTAAGAGATCTGTGGTAATCTTATTTTTACTCTTAATATGAGAGGAGTAGCGATCTCGAATCCTCTAATTTCGGTTAGCCGCAACCACCGATAATTAACGACTATAATCAGGGGGCCAGTCCACGTGACGCAACGTAAGGAAACGTAACACGGCGCTTCGAGAACTCCCTACGGGTGAGGCGTGTACATTAAGATGAATATATACCTACCCAATTGCATCCACGCACATATTGCATACATGTAGAACATATCAACGTGGGCGACATTGAGAAAATGACTTATCAGATGTCGTTAATTAGTTTGTGACAAGTTAAATAAGGAAAATATGCTACACAATTTAAACTATCCGTGTGAGTGTCAGTCACCGTATCGGCTAACGGCTTATAGTTAATTATAGACGTATTAGAGTATTAAAGTGATTAACTAATTTCAGCGAAAAATACTCTCAGTGTTAAGGAAGATAAACAATCAAGTTCTTCTAATTAGAAATTTGGAACAGATTCGTGCTAATGCTGCCGTTATTTTACCACATAAAGAAGTTACTTTTACAACGACGAGTTAACGCAGTCTAAATATTTTGTTCTTATAATTATATGGTGCACGGTTGCACCATATAAATGGGAGACGACATCCTTGTACCAGCCTGCGTGAGAGAGTCCAACGCGCGA